CGATTCACCTGCATGACCACCAGCATAGAGCAAGGCAATGGTCAGGACAGGCTCCTTGGTCACCTGGGGCTAAAGCTCAGCCTGCACGATGGTCATGCAAACAACTGACCTCCAGCAGGAAGCTGTCCAGCCTCTTTGGAAGACATCCAGAGTCCCCACCACCTCTCCTGGCCATTTGTTCCATTGCCCAACCACTCTTACCTTCAAGAATTTTCTTCTCATATTCCATCAAATGTTACCCTCCTCAAATTTAAAACCATTAGATCTGCTCCTCCCCCTGTATGAAAAGGAAACTTTCCCAGTCTCTGGCTAATAACTTGCTGACTTTGGGCTAAAACTGTCTGTTTAGGACAGAGGTAGGCAACCTTTCCCCTTTAAGGGCCGAGGGACTTCAGCTCCCAGAAGCCTCAGCCATGTTGGCCAATAGTCCCATGTTGGTCAATAGCTCCTGGGATTCTGGGAGCTGAAGTCCCTCGGGCCTTAAAGGGGAAAAAAGGTTGCCTACCCCTGGTTTAGGATGTTTGCTAAGTGCAATCTCCCTCCTCAGTCAACCCAGAAAACCTGGTTCTTCCTTAGATATATAGATATATTTTAAGACACCCCAGCCCCTTCTGGCACAGTCTTGGCCATCTCTTCCAACACTACTAGTTTTAACTGGGCATCCCGAAATTTCTTGTTAAGCAACAGCTTGTGCGTAATGTGTGCATGCAACCAGTGGGGCATTTGCAAACAGAGGTACGGTTGCAAGCCAAACAGGATGGATTGTGGCCCACTGTGGCATGTAGACCAGAGGTTGCAGCATCTTGTGTGAGAGGAGCTGATTTTCAGGGGAGGGTACTCTTCAAAAAACTGCTCTAACTCTTCTAACGCCTTTTTCTAGTTTAAGAATTCAAATCCAAGGACAGGAGAGGAGGACCAGTATCTTCTGGGGTGTTCCTGGTTAGGTTCCCAGTTATACTGTTTAAACCAGAGAGAGGAAAGTTAATAGGGAATATTAGTGTGGTGTTTTATTGTCTGTTTTTTATTATTTATGGCTGATGTTCTGCCCTTTTGTGGAAAAGGCGTTATAAATAAACACCAACACCACCATTATTATTATTATTGAGAGATAAAAACTATACTGGAACCTAGAGGTGCATTTCTGTCCCTTAGAGTCCGTGTGGCACTGCTTTCTGGGGAAGGTCCGCTGCCCAGATTGCCTGACAAAGGCAGCGGAGAGGGGGCTCTTGGGGTGCCAGCGGCTGAGGTGGAGGGGGGGCACCTGGCATGGGTTTTTAGTCTTCAGCAGACCCTTAAGACACTCAACCTGGAGGAGCTCTTGGGTCAGCGCCAAAGAGACCCGTGTCCCCCTTTCAGAACCCTGCTGTGTAACACACTTGCACTTTGAACTTCCAATTCTTATGAACTGAGGTTCTTTAAAAGAAAAGGGGGGAAAAAACAGCCAGAGAAAGCACTCCCATCAGGCCACCTTTCAAAATATTAAGACAGGGGCTCCTTGCCTTCATTTGACTGAAAACACTTTTTTGAAACAAACAAGCCAGCCCTGGTGCCAAGAAGCTGTCAGGATCTGATTCGGAGCCCTCTGATGTCATTGGAAGGAGTTGTTTTTTCCATGCTCCAGAGATACGGCATCACTTGCCCGAGGAAATGCAGGAAATCCACAGAATGGCCAAACTGCATTCCTCGGGAGGCTGGGCTGGGGATGGGGGGGAGCTATGTCTCCTTTTGGAAATGTAGTCTCTTGCTTGGCCTCAATACTGACTTCATCCTAAGGGCTCCAAACAGCAGGGGTCCCAATGGCAAAGCTGCCCATACTTAAAAGAGTAGAAAAACAAGGAGGCACAAGAAGGGACAGGCCTACTTACCCTCTGATGCAAAAAAGATACCTCAGAAACTTTCAGGAGGTGGGGACAATTTGTGGCCTTGAAGGAGAGGCAAGGAAACAGCCGCCTCACTCTCAGTTCAAATCCAGAGCCAACATTTTGCAGGCTGTCGAGAAAGCCAGCTTTTGGTGTAGTGGTTTGAGCATAGGACTTGGACTCTGGAGACTGGGGTTCAGTTTCCCACAGGGCCATGAAAACCCAATGGGTGACCTTGGACGAGTCACACCCTCTCAGCCCCAGAAAACCCCATGATAGGTTCACCTTTGGGTCACCATAAGTCAGAAATGACTTGAAGGTACCCAACAACAAGTGGCTTCTGCAGTTCTGTGAGGCTGCTTCTGGTTGCTGACTAATCACAAACTCTTCTAAATTCCAAGATATCGCCATGTCAGTCTGTAGAGAGATCTTGTAGCACCTTTGAGACTAACTGAAAGAAAGAAGTTGGCAGCATGAGCTTTTGTTGACTTCAGTCTACTTCTTCAGATGCATCTGAGCTCATGCTGCCAATTTCTTTCTTTCAGTGAGTCTCAAAGGTCTTACAAGATCTCTCTACACTCTTTTAAATTCCATTTATTATTGCACCCCCATCCCACAAATATACCCACAGAGTGCAAAAAACAAACAGACACGGCAAAAAACAAACCACACAATCCTTTGGCCACATGGAATCCAGAAACCATGGGACTTCTATTATGGCTTATATCAAGTCAACCCAGCTTTTCCAAGCCCCATTTGGTCATGTCTGTTTTTTCAGTGGGAGGTCCAGAAACTGAGCTAGGGACCCTGTGCAGATGAGATGTGCCTTCTCCCACCAAGTTATGTTTTTTCTTCCCATCAGGATGATGTCCCTGAATATGCCATCCGCTAAGCCTTGGCATGGTGGTTCTCCCCTGGAGCCCTGCTCGGCTCTCTGAAGAGGGAAGGATGGCATGCAGTGGTCCTGTTGGCCAGCCAGAGCTCAGAATCGACCAGGAGACTCAGGAGCTGGCTTCCTACAATGCATACACGCACTTATCTTATATCTTATGGGGAGCATCCTTCCTTTCCTCTGTCATGATCCCAGCTTCCAACAAAAAGTCTCCGCACCCTTCCCCAGCCCACAGGCCATTGGACCAGAAACAAGGCAAGCAAAAATTATCCTGTGGCACTCTCTGTTAATCGGAATGCTGTTGTTGTTGTTGTTGTTGTGTGCTTTCAAGTCATTTCTGATTTATGGTGACCTTAAGAGGACTGCTCTCTCATAGGATTTGCTTGGTATAATTTGTTCAGAGTGGTTTGCCTTTGCCTTTCTCTGAGGCTGTGTGACTTGCCCACATAGTGGGTTTCCATGGCTGAGGGGGAATTTGAACCCTGGTCTCCCAGTGTCCTAGTCCAATGCTTAAATCACTACACCACGCTGGCTCTCATTAATCTGCACACTTTTGTCTAAAAAAACCCCCCCAGAAAATGAAGTGCAACAAGGTTCAAATATTACAGCCTTGTGCATCAGCATCCAAGTAATGTGCAACATAGTACAAATAATGCAGTTTGCATGTCTGCATGACTGTAAACATCGCCCCATGATGTTACTAGGGCTAAAGGGGTGCAAACCATCCCAGCAGCCTCAAGAGCAGCTGCTGCCCACTTAAACCCTGACTTAATAATTACGGATTCTCACACGAAGTCATACATAAGCAATTTAAGAGAGTGAGCATAGTTTCACTTCTGGGAACTGAATAATTAACAGCTTGACTATGCTAATGCATGAAGGAGCCAGTGTAGTGCTTTGAAGGTTGGACTGGGACTCTAGGAGGCCAGGGATCAAATCCACATCAGCCATGAAAACCTACTGGGTGACCTTGGGCAAGTGCCACTCTCTCAGCCTCAGAGGGAAGCAATGGTAGCCAATCTCCTCAGAATAAATCTGGCCAAGAAAACCCTAGTATAGAGTGACTGTAAGTCATCTTATGTGACATAAAGGAGCACAATTACAA